TAGCCGAAGGTGGCACGGATCGACCGTCCGCGTTGACAGGCGCTGAGAATGAGGATGCTGAGGGCAGACTAATGTCGATGGACTGGACTCGCACTCGACTGGGGTCCACGCCAAAATTGAGGGTAGAAATGAGGGGGGCAGAGGCCTCGCCGTCCGGCTTTGGGGAGCACACACCGTGACGCGGCGCCTAAAAGGAAGAAGCGGGGTTCAGGTTGTGGATTGAGGTTTCAAAATTTGTTAGGGGCTAGTGCATCATCAGGGTTATAAAATAAGAAAACAGAATGAACAAACTGTTTGTAGTTTTCCTTCTTACTACGAATGCTTTTATTACGTCCCCTTCCCTAACAAGGACGATCGATAGGTAGGCGTGCAATACGGGGACGGTGGCAAAGGGGGTAGGGCGGTATAAAGAAAGGAACAGGGTGGTAACGCGTTGTCAAAAGAAAGCACTGTAAATGTCCGCTATCATCCTTTAAGTGAGCCAGGCTGTAAGTCCTAAATTAGACCGTACTAACCACCTACCTATAAGTCGAAATAATCCCAAGCCTAACTCTATCCATTCGTTGCCAGGTTAGTGGGTTCACACAATAGGTCGCTGCCAAACAGAGCAGTGGTAATTGAAACTCGTCCGATAAAATCACAATAAAACTTGCGTTATGTTCCCTTTTTAATTTGTTAATATCTTTATAAATTTCTGCCTCTTCATCTTATCCGATAGTTCAACGTGACCGCACGAATTCACAAGAATTAGCCTGCAACGTAGCCATGTTCCAATACATTCCGTAAAAATACCACGTGATGTAGTTGTTCTAACGCAGAGGCATTAGACTCCTTGGTGTGATATAGTGTTTTGTCAATTTCACCAACATCTCAAAGACTGTTCACTTTTTTAGTTCTGCTTGAGACCTCAGATGCTTGCAGTTTGAAAGGCTTGTTATTTAGGCCCTCCATACAACAGACAGTATTGCCGGAAAAGACAAAGGAGACTGTTAGCGGTCGATGAACGTTCATCAACGAGTATCAATATCTCCGAACTCAAAACGGCAAGACAAAGAATTCATCGTTAGGGCGTTTGACTCTGATCAAAAGGTTGAGATTTCGAGCCTCGAGTGCTGCAACACTTGGGCCTGGGTATGACAGTCTCCCTTATTTGAAGGTGTTTTTCCCCGGTAAAAATTGAAAACAGGCAAAAACAGC